TCGGTAACTTGGAGTTTAGGAGGGCAATGCGAGATTTGACTACTTTCAGCTTCTTCAGGGGCATTAAAACAATTAAGCCGTTTTTTATACCTCTTTTAATATTATGGGAGGTTTTGGCTGTACACTTTAATGAATTGAAAAGAAAGTCGTGTGCTTCAGAGTTGGGGTCTCCTTTTATTCATCGGCTTCTTGGTTTTCTGAATTTGTACACTTCATGAAGAAATTTTTGAAAACACCTTCATTTCTTTGATTGTGGGTAAAATTGGTGAATTGGAGTGCCTCAATCCTTACACTGCTTGAGAACTGTTGAGGCATGGCTGTCTTCGAATCACATTTAATGCGGTTGCTCCTCCTTACTCCTCGCCGCCTGGCGTTTCCAGTTGTCGAAGTCAATCTCTGGGTTTTAACTTGGGTATACTAGTGATTTATCCTTTAAACTTGTACCTCGCTTTCAATTAGCCCCCTATCCTTTTTTTTATAGAAAATTAAAGACTCGATCCATTTTTTTTCGCCAATGTGCCCCTCGACGTCAGAATTTGGCACTTTCCATCCATTCTGGCATGAAGATGCAGGCAGAGTGGAGATGCGAAATGACCAAATTAACCTCCAACTTCACGGCAGAATGGACGGAAAGTGCCAGATTTTGACGTCGGGGAGCACACTGGCGAAAAAAATTAGTTCGGTTCCTTAATTTTCTAAAAAAAAAATGATAGGGGCCTAATGGAAAATTAGGTACAAGTTTAGGGGGCAAATCACGAGTATACCCTTTTAACTTGGAGCCTTGCGCCTTTAACCGGGTAAAGACTTATTTGAAAAATAATCAACAGTCCTTTCTTGAAAATCGTCAGATGAGATGGGTTAAATTGTTTTTGGGCTTTAATTCCCGGATCTTTAATTTTATCAATTTGAACAGCCCAAGGCCAATTTATTTTTTAAAAAGGGTCGGGATCTAGTGAGCACACCTATGTGAGAACATAACATGAGAACACCGTTGGATCTAATCTAACGGCTGTATGAAAAGAAATTGTAAATGTAAGTGTTGTATTAGAACGAGGCCTTCTTCTGTCTTCCCCCTCCAAAACGTCCCCTCCAAAATAGAAGTCCCCTCCAAACTAGCTGTTCGCTCAGTTCAATGAGAAGGCTATTTTTTTATCAGCTTTGATTGAGGAAGAACTATAACACTGAAGAGAGAGCACCCATGTTAATCGTTTTTCGGTTTGAGGAAGAACACATAAACTGTACCCTCATTTTTCTGGGTTTCCCATTCAGGCGAAACAAAGGAATCTTGGATTTTATAATTTCATCTTTGTGGTTGGGTTTTTGGGGTCGGAACATACGTCAATCCTTGAGCAACATCGAAACTAGCGTTGAGTTGGAAAGTGCTGACCGTATCGTTGTGGTTTTGGTCTGTTGGTTTTGAAATCGTTGAGTGCGGGTGAAACAAGGGTTGAGGAAGATGAAAAGTTATTGGGGTTGACGTCCAGATCTAAAAGGGCTAAGTTACGTTGTCATATTTGTTGAAATTTTGAAGTTGGAAATCAGTTACGAGGTAAGCCATATACTGTATTTGTCAATTTCATTATTGGGCATCAGCATGAGTCCCTTTAGGTTGTATGTATGACTTTAATGTTTCAGCAGAGAGTGATTTGAATGTCATATGCTAGTTAATATATATTTTAAAGCTGTTTGAAAGCATGTGCCTAATATTGGGCATCAGCATGAGTCAGATTAGGTTGTATGTATGTCTTTAATGTTTCACCAGAGAGTCATTTTGATGTCATATGATAGTTGATATATATTTTAAAGTTGTTTGAAAGCATGAGCCAAATATTGGGCATCAGCACGAGTTACATTAGTGTGTATGTAGGTCTTTAATGTTTCACAGATAGTGATTTTCATGTCATATATGATGGTGGTGATTCATTAAGTGAATGCAATATAACATGCAAACTTTAATATCAAAGAGAGAGAGAGAGGGAATTCGACAGAAACGTACCGATTCAGACGTTCAGATGAGAATTACTCGATCACGGAGGTTCTGCGACAACAGAAGAGCAAGTAAAAAAGAAACAGTACACCAGGGAGTTTCTGTGAGAAGAGATGAGGAATAGAGAACTTGATGTCTGGTAGGTATTTGGGTGTTATGACTAGGGTTCATTCATAACTCCATTGACAAGAAAGGCGCCACTGTCAGGAATAAGAAAGGCGCCATTTTTTCGAACCAGGAGCGACTTGACACCTCTGATAAGGGGAAACGGTAGCCAACCGGTATGCAACATAAGCTTGCTTTTTCTCTTCAACCGTTCAGATGCATTTCAATGACTGCGAGTGATTCTTATATAATGTTCTCACATAAGCGTTCTCACCTTATCCGGATGGTTTAAAAAATCCCTTAATGAGTCTTGATCCATTTTAGGCCCAATCCAAATTTTCTATGCACACCATTTGCTATTAATTAGGTTTAATTATTGATTTGCCCTTGAAATTCAATTTTGAGTCTTACTTGACCCCTTACTCTCAATTTGCCTTACTTTTTTTATTTTGGTGAAGAAAAAGAAGGGGATACGACAAGAAGAAAAAAAGGAGAAATGTAAACATCATTTCAATTTGCCTTACTTTTTTTTTTTTGGTGAAGAAAAAAAGAGAATGCGACACCAAGAAAAAAAGGAGAAATGTAAACATCCTCTCAATTTCCCTTACTTTAACCCGTAAATGTGTATGTTTTATTAATATCGACTAAAAAAATACTAAATACATCCTTGTAAAAACAATATTAAATATAATTTTCGCTTTTTTTAATAAAGAAATTAGTTTTTTTGCTCGAAGGAAAAATTCAGTAAACGGTTTTAAATCTACTCTCGTTCGACCACAATTCCCAAACGCCTGACTTCCAATTCGTTCGTGCACATTCTCACCCCCAACTACAGAATGTCTCTCTTCTCACCTAATATTGAATTTATTTGATATTTATATTCAAGCCAATATAATTCTTAAATATAAATGGATCTAAAATATAAATACTCATACTTAATATTGGTTTTAGGATTTGCCGACCAGGTCTAGTCCAATGAAAAAATTGCATTGACTTGCGGACCAGAAGTCTCGGATTCAAACCCTCATGCCATCTTGGGTGTGTGTGTGAGAAACTCCCTCCCCTCTAGTTTAGACTATCGCTTGTACTCAAACAAACATTGGTTTTATGATTTTTATCAGAAATGGTCCCTAAACTTTTCACTTTCCAAATCCTAACTTCCCCTAAGTTTACGAATACATAAGAAATAAAAAATTTATGTGCGTTTTAATGTTAAAATTCGTAATCAAATACCCTCAAAACAAGAAAATTGTCAAACAAAGTAGGGCAAATATTCAGTTATTTCAGATATGTATTCTTCTCCAATATGGATGTATTGTAAAACCCTAAATAAAAATATGAAATAAATCTAAATTACAATATAAAATAAATCTCTATTATAATATGACTAGACAAATAGTTAAGTAACCAAAATTCTAATATAGTAAGGAACCAAAATCCTAACTAAATAAGGACTCGCCAACAGAAATTATCTCAACTTAGGGGGTAGTTGATCCATCCACTTCCTTAAAAGTAGGGCAAATATTCAATTATTTCATATATGTATTCTTCTCCAATATGGATGTATTGTACAACCCTAAATAAAAATAGGAAATAAATCTAAATTACAATATAAAATAAATCTCTATTATAATATGACTAGACAAATAGTTAAGTAACCAAAATTCTAATATAGTAAGGAACCAAAATCCTAACTAAATAAGGACTCGCCAACAGAAATTATCTCAACTTAGGGGGTAGTTGATCCATCCACTTCCTTAAAAGTAGGGCAAATATTCAATTATTTCATATATGTATTCTTCTCCAATATGGATGTATTGTACAACCCTAAATAAAAATAGGAAATAAATCTAAATTACAATATAAAATAAATCTCTATTATAATATGACTAGACAAATAGTTAAGTAACCAAAATTCTAATATAGTAAGGAACCAAAATCCTAACTAAATAAGGACTCGCCAACAGAAATTATCTCAACTTAGGGGGTAGTTGATCCATCCACTTTCTTAATTCCCTTATTTTCAAGTTCCTTGATTCTTGACTTTCACATTCCTATAAGTAAACATGTCTTCAAATTGATTAATTTTTTTTTTAAAGATGACCTCAAATCAATTAATGTGATCCTTCATACTTTGGTCCACACATCAGGTTGGTCCCTCTCATCGTATTTCGTCAAAATCTTAGATAAAATTAATGACGTGACAAATTTTAAAGGGGTATTTTCGTCAATATACAAACTATCCAAACATTACACAAAGTAAGCTCACATAATTTGCTCAATAAGGCTATCTGCCCCAAACGTTGGAGGGAATATGGCCTTATTCACCAAAAACGTGGATTTTAGAACTAAAATGAGCTATATTTATATGACAATATCCCTTTAAAGTTGTTCACGAGATGACACATAATCAATTTTACTTGACGTTTATCGGAATGCGATAGGAGGGACCAAATTGATGTGTAGATCAAAAGATGAAGAACCACATTGATTGATTTGAGAGTTTGAGAACTAAAATGAAGACTTTTAAAAGCTAAGGAACCGCTTGTTGTTTTTATTTTTCCGGAGACAAAATATATAATTATTTTTCTTTCTTAATTTGAGTTTTGTAGTTAATTGTGAATTTTTTTTAAAATTTTTATTTTTTTTGAGAAAGAGATTAATTGTGTTAAATATTCATTCCGGTTTAGCTTCATTGAAATTTGACAATGTGCCCATTTGAGGAAAAGAAACAAACATATGTTTATATATTTTAGGATGATGTTCGACAATAATTATATAGATTATAGATTTGACAGCTACAAGGTATTCCTGGTTTTTTTCTTAACCCCTAATCTTAAATGAATTACATTTAATTTCTCAATATTACGTGGGAAAGTTGCCATAATTCACTGGCTGAAGTGTTCATCGCCCAAAAACCATCCAATTGCTCAATTGTCCAGAACCAGATATTCATACGTACTCATTGCCATATACAATGCCTCTCGTCATTTTGCATCCCCTCATACTTCTCCACATATCCGCCGAACCCGCTTCCCCTCTGTTCTTCATTGTCTCAGTGATCACCTGCATTTGAAGTTTCTTCACGAACCCAGGTTTTTATTTCTCTCACCCTCTTCATTATTCGGCCATTTTTGTTCACCAGTGCCAGTTATTGATTGCAACGTTATAATAAAGGTCTGATCTTTGCGTTTCGTTTCTGCCTTTGCCTTTTGGTGATATTGAATTGATATTCGTGTTTTTCATGACAATTTCTCAAAAGGGTATTCATTAAATTGTGCAATTAATTAGATGATCCTTTTGTTGTATGATCTGAAAACGCGTTTGAAATGGTCTTCTCTGTGTTGCAAGTTTCAGCTTCCATAGTTCAAATCGAACACAACTTGGCAACAACGCAGCAAAGAATGCGAAAGTTGGTCTGAATGAGAGGTTCTGTGTTGCCTTCGGTCCAGATGAAAAAATCCTTTGCATGGCGGCCGCAATTGATGAAGGATATTATGATCATGTCCAAGTCAAGGCCTCGTCCACCATTGAAAAGACCAACATGGATTATTGCATTGGTTTCGTTCGTCTGTGTTTTTTTAATTGTAGCCTATTTCTACCCACCGAGAAGCTCTGCCACCTGCTATCTCTTTTCTTCTAGTGGTTGTACTGTGTTTGGAAAGGATCCACCTGGTCCTGCAAGGGAATTGACTGATGATGAGACTGCATCTGATGTTGTAGTTAAGGAAATTCTCAAGACACCTCCTCTTCAATCAAAGAACCCCAAAATTGCTTTCATGTTTTTAACTCCTGGTACATTACCTTTTGAGGAGTTATGGGAAAATTTCTTTCAAGTAAGGTTTTACCTTTATGTTATTCTTTTTTCCCTTTTGAGTTCATCACATTTTGGTATTTTTTATTTCCATATGCGGTCGTTCTTTGTTCATATATTTACGAAAGAATCGTATGAATGTATTTGTTGAACTGCATTAAGAAGTTTGGTAGTCAGGCGCTGCAGTTTAGGCATATTTCCTTGAGCTGCCATTCACTGAGAAGTACTGGCAGATGTTTAGTAGCTAAAATGCTCAAGTAATTTGATGGAATTGATGCTCACCTCTGCAATGTAATGGTCTCTCATGAGATTACAGTTTCTCTTTTTCCAGAGTTAGAATTAATGTCGAACTAGGGCCAGTCTTTTGACCACCTGAGGAAATGTCGAACTAGGGCCAGTCTGTTAACTCAAGAGACTTATCGGAGGAGTATGTTATGCAGGAGATATGATAAACATGTGCCAGGCTTGGTGTGTTCAACACCATTTTCAATGAAAACAGTACGAAATTCGTTTTAATGTAATCTATATATAGCTCTTGAATCTCCATTTCTTTATGCTTGGTGTTGAGTTCTCTAGCATCTAGTGAGAACTGGAAGTAAGAACTCAAGCTAGGGTAAGTAATTGGTTTACCTTTTTATGATTATATTATAGATACATGCTAAAGTAAAACGCAGTGCCTACTTGTGTTGATATTTTCCTAAATTATATAAAAAGCCATTTATTTTGTAAGCTAATTCACAGTCTAACAAAAATATCATGGTGCCTAGGGCCATGAGGACAAATTCACTGTTTATGTACATGCTTCTAAGCAAAAACCAGTACATGTGAGCCGTTATTTTGTTGACAGAGACATACATAGTGAGCAGGTACGTAGAAGCCCTCTATTAGCATTCTTACAGTTCAACATTATTTTATCAGTAACCAGTACACATGGTTTTCTTTAAAGATGCCATTAATAATAAATTTGCAGGTCGTTTGGGGAAAATTTTCGATGGTTGAGGCAGAGAAAAGACTTTTGGCAAATGCACTTTTAGATCCTGACAACCAACATTTTGTCTTGCTGTCTGATAGGTCATTGCATTGTAAACATTTACAATTGTGACTTCTGCATAAGGTTCTTATGATGGAATTTTGCTAGTTCTTTCATTGATTTTTTTTTTTACATTTTTGGTTTCAGCTGTATACCACTACATAACTTCGATTATGTATATAACTATCTCATGTACACAAACGTCAGCTTTATTGATTGGTAAGCAAACTATATTTTAGGAAGTACACCAAATGGAACTCTAAAAATACTTTCCAATTATTTATGTTAAATCTCTTATTCTGGTGTACTTGAACAATTGCTTATTCCATGTATTTAGCCCTCTATCTCTCTCTCTCTAGTTTTGTTGATCCTGGTCCACACGGAACTGGCCGGTATTCAGAACATATGTTGCCTGAAGTTGAAAAGAAGGATTTTCGGAAGGGTTCACAGGTACATTCGTGAATTTATGTAGAAACTTGTGGATAAAGAACTTTCATGAATTTATTTACTGGTGTCTCATACAAGCCTGCTTATATAATCAACCGTCGAGCCAACTGCTAAAGTCCCCTCTACTATAAGAATTTCTTAGAAGTCAAAGGTTCTAAGGGGTATAAAACAAAGTTGGTTACTGCAGGTAGTTTCATCTATGTCAATTTAATAACCTTGTTGTTGACTCAGCTAATTGCTGTAAGCCTATTTCTTGAATGATAACTGGAGTTTGAAGCACTGGATTACATGACCTGTAAGTTAACCTATGACCTATGCTAAACGTATAGGATTTGACTAGTGCAAAATTTCAGACTGGCTTTAATTTAGATCTGGTGTCATCTGGGAAGTAAAATTTAGTCTCAATACAATGTGGTAAAGCTTGGTGGATGGGGCAAGATATTCCTTTTCAGGCTCCATGTGGAGCCACAAAAGAAGATGGATTACTTGCTATACTTACAAATATTTGCCTTCCATTGAATTATCAATACGTTTCTAAAATCATTTCTTAAGTGTATATTTCCATGTTGGACACACAGGTGCAAAATTTCAAATTGGCTTCATTTATATCTGGTTGCATTTGTGAACTAGAATTATTTCTCTGTCAAATTCCATGCAATATGTTATGTTTCTTGGATGGAATGGATGGGGGAGATTTTCTTTGTTAGCCCCACCCCCCCTCTCCTTTATTGAAACCAGAAAAGAAGCTGGATTACTTGTTTTGCAAATAGGTCTCAGAGTTGTAAAATCAGTTCTTATGAGTATATTCATGATTCGTAGAATCTTGTCACTTGTTCTTTATAAGTCACATGAACTTGCTTCTTTATCCTATCTTTCTTGTCCCAAGTGTATGAATGATTGCAATGTTTGGATTGATTTCTTGTTCTTGAACACGTTTATTGTCTCCTTTTGACAGAGCATTTGATCAACAAGAGCTTTGGTATATAATGCGCTCATTGATCAGATGCAGATTTGTGCAAGGACAGTTGATATGTCTCGTATATGGTTGGTTTTAACTGACATTTGCACTGCAGTGGTTCTCTATGAAGCGGCAGCATGCAATTGTCATGATGGCAGATAGTCTTTACTATACAAAGTTCAAGCTTTACTGCAGGGTAATCTGTTTGTTGTGATATGCTTTTGGCATCATTAAGTTAGGCCTTGTCTAGAGTAAATTCTTTGAACACCAAATATTTTTATTTTATATTTTAAGAATCTTACTTCAAAATTCAAACTATTTACATCTGTTAGTCCTGGCTTGCTAGTTTTGGATTGAACTCGATGCTGTTTCTGACTTTCTCAGCCAAACATGGATGGGCGCAACTGCTATTCGGACGAGCATTACCTACCAACTTTCTTTCAAGTCAGCACAACAAACCTTCTCCGTTTGCTTGCCATTACGACTACACTTCATTCCTTTCTAATTTCTTTGCTGCCACTACTTCTCGTTTTCTTTTTCCATTAATGGTTTTCAGATGAAAGATCCTAGTGGACTTGCGAATTGGTCAGTAACATATGTTGATTGGTCTGAAGGGAAGTGGCATCCAAGAGCATATAGAACTCAGGATGTTACTTATGACCTCCTTAGGAACATCACGGTATGGTTTCCAAATTTTTTCTTTCTTAACCCTCACTTCATTTTCATGTGACATGCCATTCACTTAATGCCACTCTCTCACCCATTTCAGTCCATCGCTGAGAGCACACATATTACAAGCGAAGACAAGGTACAAATAACCCTTTTAGAGTTGGATCAAACAAGTAGGCTTGCTTGTGGTAAAAGTAATCAGTAATGCTAGGGTCATTAAATTTGTTTGCAAAATGATGTGGCAGCGCTATCGCACTTCATTCATTTCTAACTACATATCGTATCATCCTGCACACATCATTTGGTGAATAAATTTGACAACTCTAATAACATTTTTGTTGTGATAATGCTTTCTGTAATTTGGGAAGACAGTGTTTGAAATTTTGATTTCGGTCTGCACTGAATGCTGCAGAAGCAATTACTGACCACTCCTTGCTTGTGGAATGGGATGAAGAGACCCTGTTTTCTATTTGCCAGAAAGTTTTATCCTGAAACTTTGGGGAAACTGCTGCAGCTTTTCTCCAATTACACAAAAGTCTAAATTTTCTTTTGGTTCTGTCAATGTCAAATGCTTCCTTGTCATCCCTCAGTTCTGGTACATAGCTCCCTTGATTATACTTTGCCACTTTAAACACACATTCTTCGGATCCTTGGTTGGATAGATTTTTGCCATGTCAGTGAAGCTGTCAAGAGATATGGCTTGGATTGGTGGTTGAGTTGAGAGGATGCTTGTTGTAGATTGGTTTTTATTTATGTATTCTAAATTACTGAATATTGAATGATAAATGCATTCAATTTCAGGTTTTTGACATTGTTCCAAATCTCCCAGCCTTAGAAATAGGCTAGAAGTTGTATTGAATTGCAAGTGTGCCACTATTAGCATTTTAAAACCCTAATAGACTTGAATAAAATTAAGTAACTTGCGCACCAAGAAATCTGACTTCCAACCAAGCAATTGTGTATTGAATGGGGAATTGGTTCAATATTGGTTCTTTTCTATGCCTCAAGACAAATGAGGACTTTAATATTTCTCTAATACAAACTAAAGGAAATAAACGACAATATTGAGCAAACAATGGGCCAAATCTAAGAGATCTGATTAGAACTGAGACTGCTATCACCTTGGGCTACTTCTTCATTGCAACAATGGTTTCATAGTGTTGAGAGGTCTAGTAACAGTCAAAAGATGAGGTCAAAACTTTGTACTGCAATTGAGTACAACACCTTCAATTGATATAGATCAATTGGGAATCGATACCAGCGTCGGAATATCAATAACCTATGTGCCTTGAAGGAAGGATTAAGGTTTGTATTGAGGCTATTGTTGATAAGTTGTGTGTATAGGCAATGAATTATTCTCTTATTTTTATATTACTTTTAACTTAACTCATAGGTAATGGTCAGCTAGGGATAGGGAATGACATTGATGAAGATCATACCTAATCAATTAAGATAAATTGTCTAAGGCTTATTTATGGATATGCCCCTGTGCTTTTAAAATAGTCTCAGATTACCATCAATTATTTGAAATGTCTCAGTATACCACCCATACTTTCATTAAGTGTCTCACATAAGCGATTCCGTCAGATTTGAGAGAAGTTCCGTTAACTGATGTGGCCCCCACTTCTTTTGAATCTCTTAACAAGTGAGAGGAATGGTTAATCAGGTTGAGAATAGGGGGAATTTGGGAGAAGAAGGTTAGGTTGAGGGAATTTCATATTTGGGAATCTCTGAAAGAAGGGCTTGAATCTTTGAATAGGGAGGAAGGCCGCTTTTTGTCTGTATGAATATTGATTGAGTCAATGTGTTGGGTTATCTGGGAAGGGGGTCGCACGATTTACTTAAGAAACTGTTTGGCGTTGGACTTTAAGGTGGAGGTTCAGATTTGGGAGAATCTGGATCTTCATATTTGGGAGAAAATGGGGAATTTGATTTGGGGATTTCATATTTGGGAGAAGAAGGAATGGGGTTCATTCATTCCACTTGAAAGAAGGGCTCAAATCTTTGAATATGGTTCATTGCACTTGAAAGCTACTTCTTCTTTTTGTGAATGCTGACTGAATTTAAGAAGACATGGAAACAAGTGAAGCAAGGCATGCCCAACAATGTCATTGTGGGAAGGGGGCCCACATCAACTAACAAAACTTCTCTCAAATTTGACGGAATCGCTTACGTGAGACACTTAATGTTAGTATAAGTGGTATATTGAGACATTTCAAATAACATAGGGTAATCTGAGACTATTTTGAAAGCATAGGAGGCATATCCATAAATAAGCCATTATCTAATTACCTTGTCTTTGCTGCTGCGAAGAAAAGATAAGATCCATCTTTAATTCTAGGTAATTATCCAATAGCTTTGAGCTGAGGGTTGTAAACGGGCAAACTTTGCGCCCTAAGCCCAATAGGCTCAATTTGAGTTGTTTCCGTCTTCAATTAGAGTGATTTTGGCCGAGGCAAACGCCATTTCCGTCTTCAACTCCTTTCGAAATTTTACAATCCTGCCCTAGATTTCCTTTGAAAGGTCACCATTTTGATTGAGTCTGAAAGGTTGGAGCTTTACCTATGAAAGAACCCACGCCAGTTACCGTTTTAGACCCAATACTTATTTACTCTTCATTTTATATCTTTTTCTTCTTTAATAAGCATTTAAATTTCTTAACTTTCAATACCATGTTTCCTGCACTGCTAACTTTCAGCAACTTGGCATTAATAATCTTCTCCAGGAACCAATACTTCTACTCTGTACCAAAATGTTATCGGTAGTATATGCATAGAGATATGCATAGTTTTAAATCTTGAAAACATTCTTGCATGTCGCAATGTACAAAACTTGCTTTTCCTCTCTCAGTTTCTTATAACAAAATGCTCACTGATAACACCAGTTTCTTCTTTCATGGTACAAACAACAATATCTTGTTTGAACGAAAACTATTGACCAGTGAACCCTGGTGAGCTCATATAGGTTATGTTTCGAGCATCTCACCTGTTGTTGCGATGGAATTGCAAAATCACACTTTCCACGTCCCTTTGATGCTAATGGTTTATGGCTGAACAAGACTGGCGCTAAAAATGAATAAATAATTATATATAAAAAATTATCATCTCCAGGATTTCCAAGCCTTGCTCATTTTAGCACCAAGATATCTCGTGGCATTAATGCCACCAGCAGCCAGGAGACCAGACATGGCCTGTCTTGCACTCGAAACCATGACCTTTCGCCGCAGAATAGTCTGCATGCATTTAGCAGCCTCGTCTTTGGAGCCAATCACAATTTCCTGAATAACTCGACCTGCAATTGAAGTACTAGATATGTGTAATGATTGACTAAAATCCAGATTCAAGAGTTACAAGTACGTATGTTAAACTACCACCCTAGTTAAAACACTATCCCTGTGGCACATAAATCTGGAAGTTTTCTATGAACTTTCACTTTTCCATTTATAACAAACAAGTAATATTTTCCTAAAAAACTTTGGGTCAGGTATAATCATTAAATCTGAACTCAGATCAATCCTTAAGAAACCTTTTTCCTTATAAGCCACTGCAGATGAGTTAAGGTTCATACCAGAGTCACACAGTACTTTCTTTTCTCCTAGCTTCATCCCCATTTGGCTTCTGACCATTGGGGGCAAAGAAGAAACAAGAGATCGAGCTGCTAATAAACCGCCATCCTGTTTTAACAGGTAATAATGTATCTTAAGCTTCAAAGCATTGAACTGTACACTACATAGCATAACTTTCAGAAGAATTAGCCATATAGTGAAGTGTTAAAGTTGGTATCTAGCTTATGTTCTAAAACATGCAACGAGGTTCCATACACCCATTAAATCAACGCTTCTGTTTTTTCTTTTTCTACTTTTATAAGAAGCTATAAATCAACCCTTTGCCAGTAAAAGAAATGTTGGATCAACTTCACACTGCAACCTAAGGGTCAGAATAGACCTGAGATATGATTGGTTGAGTATTCCCAGATAAAGAGCATCTCAACAACTCTTTGGTCTCATACTCTTCAATAAATGGCTTATACATCGGCCGGAACAATTCAAATTGCCCTTGTACTATTTTCTTCACCTGCAGTAGATAATGTAATTTTAAAAAATTTGGTTATGTTTGGCCATATAATTACAAGACCCACCAACTGAATGCAAGTTTGTGGATTTATGTAACCACTGATTGAGCTTTAACTTATTTCTGTCCTCTGCAAAAAGCATACGCAAGTCGCCCATATATGAGAGGCTACATATTTTGGCATACAGTTCTTCCTGCATTAAATGGTATATGTTATACAACTCCAAAAATTTTAAAATCATTGAGCAGTGACAAAGAATCAGACCTCAGTGAACTTGGACGGCAAAAGAAGAAGAGCTGCAGACATTGCACCCCTCAAATTAACCGAGTTTACATTTGCGAAATCCAAATTATCCAAAAGTACATGAACCTGTAGAAAAAAATATTGAAAACTCTTATGTTGAACATAAAGATAATGTATCATAACATGAACTATATGAGACAATCCGAGTCTTAGGTCTTCAACAGCATGGTATTTTTTTAAGCCATAGCATAAGACCATGTATTTTAATTTTCATTAGTTTCAGGCAATTTCCATGTGCTAAAAAATATTTCAACAAGGTAAAAAATTGTTATACCGAATTAGCAGAGGGTTTTTTTTTTTTTCCCCAAGAATTACATCACTACAAGATTATCATTGAATATGATTGAAAGTTCTAAAACTTAGACCATCTTCATGCAATGTTAAGGGTGGTGCTAGTTATAAAATAATGTAACTAAACAGGAAGTTAACTAAAATCAAAATGAAAGAAGGACAAATATGAAGTTGAAGATTAATCTTCCGCAAACATAAAGACAAAAAAAATGAGAATCAATGAAGAAGACATACTGGTTTTTGTAATCGGCTGCTTAAATAGAACTTCTCCCAATTTAGTATGTCCTCAACCAAGTCATGCATGCGAACAACCCCATACTTGAACATCTGTAAAAAAATTACTTGAGTGTGACTAGTGTGTAACAAAATACAAGATGTGAAAGAATACAGAATGTGTAACAAAACACTAATGCAGTATCAGTTTAAAATATGGCACGAAAGCTCAGACACCCAAGAAATAGCCTAAACTTGAATCTACGGGGTAGCTGAATGATCAATACCTTGTCGTTCCAACTAACAAAAGGATTGAAGTGCACCCCCACACCTATTTCATCTGCAACGTCGGTAATCTAGCATGGACGATTATATTGTGTCAGGATCAATGAAAATAGAACTGAACATGGAAGCAGAGAGAGAGAGAGAGAGAGAGAGAGAGAGAGAGAGCAGTACCAGTCTTGCCCCACCAAGAAGCACCATCCACGAAGAATAATGATCGTTGTTCAATGTCAGATTCTAGTTGTACATACACAAATTAGTAAACACCATGATTGATTATTGAATCATCAAGAAGAGACATATAGTATGCGTGGAAGTCTAAAGCTTACCTCAGAATGCCATTGTCGGGGATTGGATACACCAAGAATGCAATCTACCATGGTTGACTATCAACCCAGAATTCACAAATGCAAAGCAAAGGTTCAAAATGAATATTACTTAAGTGAACAAGCAATTGCTAAGAGAGTGAAAAAGAGCTATAGAAGTAGAGTAGAAACCTTTGCACTGCCAGGGTTGTTGGGATGAAGAGACGAGCCATAGACACAGGAGAACTCAACAGGGGGAAGAGTTTTGAGAAAACTTTGAAGCTGGGCTTTGTTGCGATTTTCCATACTAAGCTAGCAGTGCACAGGGCATTAGTATTATGAAGAAAGACTGAAGAGGGATTTCATCAAACACATCAAATGCAAGCCAAAATGTTTGCCTGATGTGGTCTTTCACAGTCAAACTCTTCGTTCTCAGCTACACAAGTTCCACATTATTATCGTCTTTCCAATTTTTCAAGCGGCCTCGGAGGCCTCGATTCTCACCAATACTTCCCTCAGCAACTCCTGAGGCATCTGAGCCCAGCAGCTCTGCTTCAGTGACTCGCCCGACCCAGCCGAGTCTTTGACCACCCGCTGCGAGAGAGAGGTCAGGGGGTGAGAACGAGAGCAGAGAGAGAGAGAGAGAGAGAGAGAGAGAGAGAAAGAGCAGATTGGGAGGTGGAGGTGGACGGCGCTGCGTTGAGAGGTGGGGAAGGGTGCGCAGGGGGACGGTTGCTTGGCTTAGCTGAGGGATATATATATTTTTGTTTAAAAAATATTAATTTTTAATTAGTTTTTCTTTATTATTTTATTTTACACATCAGCATGAAACTGAGTATCCTACCTGCCACGTCACCAATTTAATGGAATATCAAACGGCGAAGTTGACAGAGTGGAGCTATTACATATGCTAGTTCTCTCTCCTTCTTGTGAGAGCATCCCTCTCCTTTTGTGAGAGCCTACCCTCTCCATTTGTGAGAGTTACTACCATCTTGGTAAGCCTTAATGGCTGCTACTGGATCCCAACCACCCTCTGCTACAAAATATCAACTTCACTACCCTTCGGATCTCAATTTGTAGGAGCAATTAATTCCCCCCAACCACCTGCGAACTTTGAGATTTGCCCCATCACTACACCCCCAAAATCCCGCTTCTTAAACTTTCCCAACTACTCCTTGCCTCAAGAAGCAGGAAATTATCATATCCCCTTATTAATTGCGATTCTCTTCACTCAGGTTTTTAAATCTTTTCTGCATCTCAGTGTCTATAAACAACTGGAAGTCTCATACTGGGTGCAACACCAACTTCGTGGAAATACCCCCCCATATAGCGCAGCAAGCAACATTATCCCACCAACCCAGATGACTTCTACAGGAGCTGATGAACTCGTGGTTCAATTGGAGGAATCTTTGGGCCTCTCAAATCTGGAGCATGGTCCAAAACTAGTGGGAGCAGTCATAGCCGACAAAATGCCCAACCGGGGAGCTATAAAGAACATCCTGAAGGCAGCGTGGAGACAGTACGGTGAGGCAAAATTCATCTGGGAAAAAGATAATCTCTTCTCTATAACGGTGCAAGATGAAGACATGGCAAACAAAATCTTGGATAATGGGCCATAGTTAGTCATGAAGCAGTGCTTTTCTGTCAAGAGATGGCCATCAGAGCTTGCCATTGAAGAAGTGGATATGATGAATGTTCCCTTCTGGGTCCAGATTAGAGGTATACCTCTTAACCTCTGTACGGAAGACAATGTTCAGAAACTGGGGAACAAAATTGGAGAAGTACTGCAATACGACAGTCCCAACCAAGCTCGCGGCTTTCTCCGGGTTAGAGTCCTGGTTGACACACGAAACCAGCTCCCTCCAGGCTTCTGGCTTTCTCGGGCAGACGGGGAACGAGACATGGGCTGAATTCCAATATGAAAGGTTATCTGACTTGTGTTACAAATGTGGGAGAATAGGCCATCTTAACACTGATTGCAGCTACGAAGCTGCTCCGGAGGGGACGGCGGGCTATGGCACGTGGACAAGGGCAAAGATTATTCGAGAGCTGGAAAACCAGCCCAAACCCACAGCTCTTTCAACCGGAGAGCGTCGGAAAGTGGGTGCTGTTCGGAGTAAGGAGCAAGTAAGAGTTACGCGCCTCGAAATGGGGCAAACCTCGAGCCGCGAAGCTGACTTTGCCCATACACCACAGGAGGCAAATCAGACCCAAAGTACAAGGATCAGGGCAATTAATTCTAAGAAGGTCCCAATCCTATCAGCACCAGTCTATGTTGTCGGGCTCGATGCAGACTATTGATGACCCTAATAACACAAGTGGGCCTTAAGGGAGTTTGGCCCAATTAAGTAAGGATAGAAACTTCAACCCAAATTGTAGCACTCTTGGGCCCTTAATAACGATCTAAGCAACCCACTTGGTCCTATGCAAATGAAAGATGTCGTGTGCCAAAGGACCAGGATAAGGGAAAAGCTCACCAACCTGGGACAAAAGCGTGGTGTTGTGGCTGATAATCCCATATCCTTTCAATCCCCAGAAAAAAAGGCAAAAACAGGTCAAGAGGAGGGATCCTCAAGCGGGGGAGAAAGGAGGAGGATCACTGATTAGTTCATAATTGTATATCATTTTGTACCCCTCTAGCTTATGATTTGGTTATGTTATTGAGTTAAACTTGTGCTTTTAATCCCTTTTCTGTTTATCATTCAGTTCATTGGGCCTTAGATAATAATGGTGGCTTTGGATAGGAAAAGATGCAAAATGGTGCAAAAACGAGCAGACTGAGTTAGCAATTTGTTTCGGCCTTAACTTCCTCCTCCCAACATGTATTGGCCCAATTAATATGTGGTTGGAAAGAAGAGATTCGGAACTTCAAGATGGACTGCTAAAACGTATCAATTGATGAAGCCAAGCCCAATCCATGGGCCCATCAAAATGCACACCATACATTCCAGTCTATTTTCGACAGTCAACTTGCAAGGCCCAAAACATACACTTAACTGCTCAGATGGGAATGCATTCTTCATCCAAGTTGTTCCAATGGGTGTCTATTATGACATATCCAAATTTGAG